GAGGGTCAGTGAAAAAGAGGAAGACCCTCAATGAGATGGATTGACACAGTGGCTGCAACAATGGGCTCAAGCATAACAATGATTATGAGGATGGCACAGGACCAGGCAGTGTTTCATTCTGTTGTACATAGGGTCACCATGAGTTGGAACCAACTTGATGGCACCTAACAACAACAACCCTTTGCTGTTTTAATGCTGGTACTAAATCTCAGCCAATTCCCTTTAACCACATTCTGTTGTCTCATCTCATTCTTCATATTTTTTTTATAAAATTACTATTTCCTTAAACATCACTGAGAACACTGAGACATTCTTCATGGCATTCACTTCTACTTCCTACAGTAAATTTTAATAGGTAAACCCTTTCTGTAAGTCTTAATTGGTATATTTCCTTTTTATTTTTGCTGAATGTTGTATTAGGCCTCATTTTGTTCTTATTGTTATGATTTTCCCATTCACTTCTGCTTAATGATGAGAAGAGTAGGCAGGCTGGCATGTGCCCATATACACAGAGGTCATATTATCCTTGGTTCCCGTCACTGTCCACATGCATGGAACTAAATTTCTTTTTCTCATATTAACTTGAATGCTGTGAAAAGATTTCTAGGTAAATTTCTACTTTCTGGACAAGAATTACATTGTGTGCTTCTTCTGAACGGAGGAGAAAATAATCTGTCCCTCTTTACATTTATAATACCTAGGAGAAGACTTTATTCCTTGACAAAATGAATCCCTTAAATGTAAATGCCTAAAGAGGGTATAAAACTACATCATCTAGACTTCTCTGTTCCTACCCACCTTCCTTCTGTTTAAAGAGAGATATTAATGAGGAAACAAAAGGAATATGATGGTAAAACAACTCCGGCCTCATTAGAACCTACCTTTTGGACAACTACAGGTACAATTTCCATATTTATATTTAGTGGAGACTTAGAAACTTAAAGGTAATAGATAGAGAGATTGGTTGGAAATTGAAAATCTTCACATCTCTAGTCCTTCTAGATATGACTCTCTTCTCTCTCTCACTGACAGTTTGGTAGGTGAAGTTGCTAATGTTTCTGTTGAAAATGCCCATATATTTGGTATTTTCAAAAGTATTTCAATGAAAGACCAAGTACAATAAAATTATCCCTTGATACTTGTTGATATCTTCCTTACTTCCTTATTGAGTTTTGAAAGACTAAATATTATCATACCAAGAGTTAGATACCTAAAAGAAATTTCCCAACTCTTCTCTGTTGGCATATACCTTGTCTAAATGCATCTTCTTATGATTTATTATTTTTATTCTCTGGTAAATTATTATTTACTATGTCTAAGATTAATAGAAATGCAACTTGGAAATCAAATATATAAATATAGGAACATGGAATACTTTTTGCAACTTTTTGATATTCAATATTTATGTAATACATATTCTAAAATGTGCAATAGATATTTCAATACACAAGTACTTAAACCATTCTTTAACAAACCAATATTTTCAAGTTTCAAAGATAGCATTTAAAAAATCACAATTTTGTTTCCTTACCTTTCTGGATATGTAAGTGATTTTAACATGAGACGCTGAATCCTGTATTCACATGTGGGACATTGCAGATTTGAGCTCCGGAAATACATCAAACTGATGCTTGAAATATTTGCAACATCATTATAAAATTGAGCAAGAATATTGACTTCTTGATCTTTATAAAGTGATCCACTCTCCCTAAACAGAAAATACGATGTATTCAACATATTAATAATTAGAAAATATAAGTTTAATTCTAAAATCAACATAATCTTAACAATGCATAATAAAGAGAAACCAGTCATATAGGGGAGAAAGCCTGTACATAAAATATTTATTAAAGCAATTATTAAAATAATTTCAACAGTAATTTAAAGTAAAATAATAATAATATATGCATTCCTATGTTGAAATATTTTGGGAATGCTTTCTGGGAAAAAAATTGAGACATCTTGCCTTTCAGACTAGATGATTAGATTATACATTTGTCTAAGGATAGAGAAGTGCCTTTATGCTTCCTTTTTTAGATCCCTCAAAAACTAGCACCGTTCCTTGAATAGATGCTCAAATAATAGTTATTTTTGTTCTGTTCCATTTTATCAAATATTAGTGACCTAAAAAATAACTTACAAAAGCTTAAAATTCAAAAGAAAAGATAAAGGTAATACTTAATAAGTGTAATTTTCTGAACATTTCAAGTTTCACATACTTGACCTCATTTAATTATCTCAACAGTAGTAGTAGATACTATTAGTACTGCCATTTTGCAAATGAGAAAACAAGATTAGAGCATTCAAGTGCCTTTCCCAAGGTTACACAGCTAAAGAATGCACAGCTAGAATGTAAACTCAGCCATATCAGCACTTTCACCACTCGGGTTAATTCTCCATCCCTGAGGGCCAGAAATGTGGGGCCTGGAAGTCAGTAAGGCCAACTTGGGCCTACTTGACTCAAAGGCAACACTTCTACCTACTCACCCTACTTCCTTTCATTAGATGAAACTAAGGGAAAAGGAAAGGCAAAAAAAAAAAAGGAAAAAATTAAAAATCTGTTGAAATAATTTTCTATTTTGAATAACAACCACCTGCTTGAGCTACGATGACAATCACAAGCACATATCACATATACATATGGACCACTTGGAGAGCAAACCGTGGTGCACTCAGCAATCCTGCAACCCCATATTTGTCCTAGATCTCTGCTCTCTGATTTCTCACAGCTTTTGTGGGGAGCTAGGCCCAACAATGTTATCACACCCTTCAAAGCCCATCTTCTGTGTATGTGTACAGGGGCATCCATAAGAAGAAGGAGGAGGAGGAGGGGCTGCAAAGGAGGATGAATGATTACAGGCCAAATTGTAAGTGTGGATGTGCCTAGATGGTATAATTACAAATGATTCCCATTGTTTACTGTATACTGTTATATACATTTTCTACAGTAAGCAAACTGTACTGTTTCCTTTTTTAAAAGGAAAATAAAAGTTTATTTAAAATTTTCTGACTCCCCTGGCATCTAAAAGATAGTTTCAATCCCAAAGTGTGAAAAAATGAGTAGCAAAGACTTATTAATAAAAAAAAAAAATGGAGCCATTAGCCAGGCTTAGATGGACAGAGTATTTACTGCGTGTAAATGTTCCCATATTTTATATTTCTTCATGAGAAGTGTGCTAATTCATGTTTTTAAATAAAACGCATCCATATTTCAGGATGTTCCACAGAGGATATAATGTTTGTAAAGTCAAGACTCGGTTTCTTCGCCACCTGAACAGGTTTGTAATACCTGCTCTAGGAGAATAGTCTGTGTGCTATTCCTGAATTCAGGTACTTTCTCATGCCCGTGTCTTTGAAAGCACCCTCTCCCCGTTCCCTAACTGTCCCTGTCCCTGACTGATACCTTGCATCTTCCTCTGCGCTCCCACAGTAACTTCGGTGTTCTTCTATTGTAAAACCGATTATTCAGAGCTATAATTTTGCATTCGTTTTCTCCAGTATTTGGTGGCCTCATGGAGAACAATAATTGTCTGTTTCAGTTTGGGTCCCCAGTATTTTGCAAAATGCCTGCCATAAGTTTGGTGCTGAATTAATTCAAAAATTAGCAAAGCATGTTCCTAATAAGAATAAATAATATGACTATATATATATAAATATATACATATATATATAACCTATTGCTGTAAAGTTACTTCTGACCCACAGCAACCCTAAAGGATAGAGTGGAATTCCCCATAGAGTTTCCAAAGCTGTAATCTTGCAATCTTTACGGAAGCAGACTGCCACATCTTTCTTCCATGGAGCCACTGGGTAGGTTCAAACCACCAATCTTTTGGTTAGCAGCTGAGAACTTAATAACTGCGCCACCAGGGCTCCTAATTTATATATATATATATATGTTGCTATCCAGTCAATGCCAACTCATAGCAACCCTATAGGACAGAATAGAACTGGCCCATAGGGTTTCCAAGGAGCAGCTGGTAGATTTGAACTGCCAACCTTTTGGTTAGCAACCAAGCTCTTAACCACTGCACCACCAGGGCTCCATATATATCTATATGTATATATATAAATGAACTATTACATTGCTGTTGTTGTTCGGTGCAGTTGAGTTGATTCTGACTCATAGCGACCCCATATGACAGAGTAGAACTGCCCCATAGGGTTTTCTTCGCTGTAATTTTTACAGAAGCAGATCACAGGGTCTTTCTCCTGCAGACCCATTGGGTAGGTTCAAACCACCAGTCTTTTGGTTAGCAGCCTAGCACTTAACTGATGCATCACCTGGGCTGGAATAATACTATTAGTATTATAGTATAATCAGTGCTCCAAATTACATGAAAAGGGCTTTAAAGTTTTTTCTTAATAAAAGATAGGCCTTGATGAAAGTGAAAAATTTGGATTGCAGCTCTCGTTTGATTTCTTATATCACCTTCTTTAGGTGACTGAAGAGTAGTTGAAAAAAGAGAAAAAAAAAAAAAAAAACTGGTGCTCTCTCATTACCAGTTCCACTCAACTATTAAAGTAAATTCTCTGCAATGCCTTTATTAACTTTAAGAAAATTAAATCTACGAAATGCAATATTAAAAATACGTTTATCTCAAAGTTTAAAAAAAATGAGCCTGTCCTGTAACCCAAAATATTATTTCTAAGAATGACCATGCATTCTGTGATGAAATGGTCCTTATGTTATATCAGTACAGAGAAAAGTTTTCAATATTTTTGCCAACATGGGTTTCCTTTATTATTTTCTTTATAGACACCAAGGATTGAAAGATTTATCTACTAAGCTAACTGCATGTATTATGATCCAAGACTACTTTTTATTTTTAAAAGTTGATTCATGTTTTAACTAAAGGTTCATAATAATAATGTGAAATTAAATACATCACTACAGTTGTTTGTGATGCTAATTGCAACTAAATAAGTACCCAGACACTTTCTCCCGGTTCATTGTTAATGACTGAGTAACTATAGGAGCCTCGTGGCACAGTAGTAAAAGTGCTTGACTGCCAACCGAAAAGCCAGTGGTTTGAACCCACCAGCCGCTCCACAGGAGAAAGATGTGGCAGTCTGCTTCCATAAAGATTTACAGCCTTGGAAACCCTACTGGGCAGTTCTACTCTGTCCTACAGGGTCACTATGAATTGGAATTGACTCGATGGCAACAGGGTTTAAATACTCAGGTACAAGGTCCATCACACAGTCGGTCCACTCAGTGCAGGGACTGTAACTACCTAAACAGTGAGAGCAATAAATGTTGAATATACCAACTGTGCCTCATGAAATTCCAACAGTGTCATCAGTGACAAGTCAGAACTTAAACCAGATTGTAAGTCCAGTGACAACAAAATAAAGTTTATCTTTATTTAATCACTAGACAGATGGTACCCCTGAAACTTTTGGACACACTTCCATTATTTAATGAATTTCTAGAAGTATAGCACAGCAGGTTGGAAACCACAATTTTCATAGTAGCATGTACTTTTATATCATTCTTTTGTTTAAGACAAAACAAATTTTCTAGTTTGAGAATTTATTAAACACACACACATACACATTCAATTAACTCAAACAGATCATTCTTTGAGACGATTAGATAACTTAAAATATGTATATGCAGATATACATACAGCCACACATACAAACATACATAAAATGTTAAATAGAAGATTGAAGGAAAACTTCCTATTGTTTGGGGGATTTGTTGCTGAGGGTGATCTCTGAAATACTAAAATTAGGTCATTCTGTTGTCAGAAGTCACAAGACATTTATTCACATCACCGTGAATATGACTTTACCTGAAAATGTCAGAGAATTAGGAGGCAAGGTGGTTAATAGGAAGAACAATGGAATTACCAACCATGTTGCCATCAAGTTGATTCCCACTCATAGCGACCCTACAGGACAGAGTAGAACTGCCCCATAGGGTTTCCAAGAAACGGCTGGTGGATTCGAACTGCCAATGTTTTGGTTAGCAGCCAAGCTCTTAACCACTGCACCACCAAGGCTCCGATGGAATTATAGTCAGTAGGGAAAAAAAAACCCTCTCTTCTCCTCTTTAACTCTTCTAGTCACTAATTTAGTATCATAAATAAATTAGTTCTTTTTTTTCACATTCAGTATCTTCCTCAGTAGAATGAAAGAATTGGAATATGACATCTGAGGTCTTTTTAATACCTAATATTCTAAGAACTTCTGGATAGAATATTTACACTCTTTGGATTATCTGTTGAAGTGGATACTCAAGAAGGCAAGTATTTAGCTTATGAAAAAGAAAAGAACAAATCTAAATTGTACTTACGCATAAATCCTTGGTTCTACAATGATCCCAAGCTCATTTACTAATTTAAATGTAATATAGCCATCCTTCATTGTTTGATCCAGAACGGGTATATTAAGAACAAAATAGTAGGCTAAAAAATAAAAAAAATAGAGTCCAGTTCACATTGTTTTTAGTTTGTTTTGATACCTCTGTAGATACGCACCCATGTATATATGCATGTAATATATACACACATTATATATGCAAATAATACTGAGAAGCATTCGTTTGGTTAATGGTAATATATTTTACTTCTTGTTTGTCAATTTTCTGCTAGTCTAAAAAAAAAATAAAAAAGAAAGATAGAAATGAAGAAGCCTGGCAGTCAGTCACAGATATGGTGAAACGTTGGCCAAATAGCTAGTGAATATTAACTGATATGCAAACCAAAAACTTTAGGATATAGATCAATTAAACAACCTTTTTTTCAATAGCACATTTAAAACAAGTATGATACGGTTCCTTAATTATCTAATTAATTGTCCTAGATAAATTTGCTTGACATATATAATTCCCAGCTTCACTGGCTGTTTAGGAATTCCTGTGAAGTTAAATACTCCCATACGAGGTGAGCCCATAGTAATTTTTATTCAAAATGCTCCTACTAAAAAAATGATATACTGTGTCTTTCATGGGCAAAAGATGTTGAACTCACTCCTATTCTCAATACTGTCAGGGCAATATAGGAAGACTTACTATCTGTGAGTTATCCCAAAACCTGTGCACACCTTCTAAAAGACAATGTAATGTTTGAAATATTCCTGGGAGAAATCTTTATGCAAAAAATTTTGCCTGCTTGGTGTTAAATGAAGCCATTGAATAGCCAAGGATAACATAATGTCTTGTGCCTGATGCTTATTAACCAGTTACCGCCAAGTAAACTCCAACTCATGGTGACCCCATGCGTGTTAGAGTACAACTGTGCTCCATACGGTTTTCAATAGCTGATTTTTCAAAAGTAGATCACCAGGCATTTCTTCAGAGGAGTCTCTGGGTGGACTGGAACCTCCAACCTTTCAGTTAGCAGCCAAGTGCGCTAACACCTTGCACCACCCAGGGAATCCAACTATCTCAAGTAAGGGTTTTTTTTGTTTTTTTCAATAATGGGTTTTAGATTGGACCTTATCAATGGTCAATAATTTCTGATACAAGAAATGTAAAGGGACACTTTTTACTTTGAAGTTACTGCCCAGGTCTAGACAAAATGCTTTGTTCCACTTCACCTTAAATAAGTCAGGATTCAGACTTGCTCAGATGATTTCTGGCATTGTGACACTGTAAGATGTTACAGAATAGCCCCTTACTGCTTTAAGTACATAGAAATGCTGAGTGTATTATTTAAATTAAGAAAAAACAAGCTTGGAAGAAGAAATGGGAAATATCAGGGGCCAGAAAAGGAAAAGAAAGTAAAGTCCAGAAGATAGGAAGGACTGAAGCCCCAGATCCCCCAGGGACGTGAGAACTAGATGTAGCAGAAAGATGGAGGCTGAAGTGTCAACCACCGCGCAGGGACAGGAGCTATGATGCTAAGTGACAGAGATGAGATGGAAGTCCCTGCACAGAGCCAGGGACCTTAATTCCCTACTCATCATTGAAAGAGGAACTAGGAAAACTCATCACACTGGCTCTGTGTGAGTCTTAGGTTAAAAAAAAATTTCCTGGAACTAAGTAAACCTCCAGGTAATATGGAATCTAAATTTATCCTGGCTGCTTGGCGAACGACTCACAAAAATTTACACCAAAAATGCTCCAGGATTATTGCATATAAGGCTTTGGAACAAACTAAATCCCACTTGCTCTAACGCACAACTTTAAAGAGCTGATTTTTGAGAATTTTCTATTTTAAAGGAAAACAATCTTTATTTTGAAATAAATATTTTTTCTTTAATTTTTAATCCAGACTTGAATAGAACTTTGAGGCTAGAAAACAATAATAATGAAAGGGAAAAAATTTAAAATTCAATGGAAAGAAATCTACAGATAACCTGTATGAAAAAATTGTATTAATAATAAAGGCCTGACAAAAGACTATCTTCAAATTGCTGAGTATAAAAATATTTTCAACATAGAATTATATACTGAGATAAATCTTCCTTCTATAATGACGGAAAAATAAAGACATTTTCAGCAGGAGGGGGAACCAGACTGAGAGAGTTAGTAATTAAGGATATATTTCAGCAAAGAAAGAAGCTGAATGCAGAAGGAAGGAGTGGAAGGCAAGAAAAAAATGTAGAAAAATGAAATTGGCAAATATAAGTAAGCATTATATGTAATATGTATACTCACAATTAATGAGTGCTAAATAAAATGTGGAACTAAAATATTAGAGAGCATAATAATATTAAAGATAGGAAAAAAGACATAAGATTCAAAGGCTATATAAGGCAACTTGTTGCTGTTGCAGAATCTGATAAAATAGTCTATGACACAATATACATTTTTGTGTATAAAGCAAAAAAAGAAGTCACCAGGAAAATATAACAGTCCTTAATCTTTTACGCATCTAAAATAACAGCCTCAAACAGTCTCAAAATGCATAAAGCCAAAATGAATAGACTTACAAGGCAAAAAGGACAAATCTTCAATAGAGAAAATTTTAACACATCTCCTCAGAAGCCTTACTGAGTAGATAAATAATTAGTAAAGTTATTGGATCCAATTAATAACTATGATTTAATGAACTTACTTAGAACAAAGTACCTAACAATTGGAAAATACACATTTAGTTTTTCAAGTACAGATCAGGCCTTTAAAAAAATTGGTCTTATGCTAAGTTCATAAGTCCCTACAGCTACCAAGCAATTAATAGAATACAGACTATATTTTCCAAGCACAATGTAATAAAAAATGCTAAAGAAACAAAAGCATACAAAAATCATAAGGCACTAGAATTGATTTAGGATTAAAATATATGTAAAGTAATTCAACACAGTCACAGATTAAAGGAGAAAAATCATATGATTATTTCAATAAACAAAAAAAATATGGATTTCCATATTTTTCAGAAATTATAAAATATTTAGAATAGACTGATAACCAAAGATTTGTATAACAAATTAAAGGAACCTCTTCTCTAATGGAGTGAATCCCCATGATATATATGGAGATCCATAAATTTCTTGAGAATGTTATACCACCGTAAACACTGACAGCTTAGACTGAAAGAGACAAAGTAGGAAATGAAAGAAGGCTGCCAGACCCCAAAATTCTACTTTCTACAGGCAAGAAACAGGTTGATAAAACTACTCAGCTGTAAACACATGTTACATTTCACAAAAAAAAAAAAAAAAAAGGATAACTCAGAATTGAGCTGAGAGCCCAGAAAGTAAAGCCATGAACCTAGAGGAAGGAGCCACAGCCAGAGAGAATTATTCCCAAACCTTGAAACAAAATAGAGTTTTACTAGCTGGATTTCAAATTGCTGAGAACGGTGACCCATTTTTTCTTCCATTTTCTCCCTTGTCAATGGAAATACCTATAACTGGTATCCTATACCTGTCTCAACATTGTATTTTGGGAGCAAGTAACTTGATTCTTGAGTTTCACAGACCCATAGAGATGAATTATGCCTCAGGATAGTTTATACACAGAGCTTCACAAAAATCTGATTTAGATAATTTATATGATGATAATTGGAACTTTTTACTAATGAAACATAGATGAGATTTTTGACTTTGAGTTGGTGCTTTAACGGGATGAGACTTTTGGGGACCTTGGGAAGCAACGAATGTATTTTGTATGGGGGACAGACATGTATCTTTGGAGACTAGAAGGTGGACTGTGAGATAAAATATAAAATAAAAGATTCCTACATCTTTATTCATAGAATCTATGGATATGTTACTTTACATGGCAAAAAAAAAAGAATTAAGGTTGAAGACAAAATTAATGTAAACTACTCAATTGACCTTAATAGAGACAGATTATCTTGGATTATCTGGGTGGGCCCCATGTAATTACAAGGATCTTTAAAAATGGAAGAGAGAGCCAGAAGAGAAGAGTCAGAGAAAGATATTTGACAACAGGAGCAAGGTTAGAGTGATGCGATGTGAGGCCAGACACACTATCGCTAACTTTAAAGATGGAGGAAGTGGGCCACAAGCCTAGGACTGCAGACACCATCTAGAAGCTGGAAAAGGGAAGGACACAGATTGTCTCCTAGAGCCTCCAGAAAGGAATATAATGCTGTCAATACCTTGATTTTAGCACAATGAGACCCATATCAGACTTTGACTCATAGATCTTTAAGATAATAATTTATATTCTTTTAAACCATTAGGTTTTTGGCAATTATTTACAGCAGCGATAGAAAACTAATACAATAATACATAGAGTAACTCTCAATGAGTTAGGTAAAGAGAATTACCTCAAAGAGCATCTACAAAAAAACCTGCAGGTAACATTATACTTAATGATGAAAGACTGAATACTTTCCCAATTAGATTAGGAATAAGGCAGCAATGTCTGCTCTCACCGCTCTTATTCAAATATAGTACTGGAAGTTTTGTTGTTGCTGTGTGCCATTGAGTCGATTCCGACTCACCGCGACCCTATATGACAAAGTAGAACTGCCCCGGTAGGGTTTTCTAGGCTGTAATCTTTACAGGAGCAGATCGCCAGGTCTTTTCTTCCATGGAAAGGCTTTTTAGCTACTTCTATAGGTGAGAAAAAGAAATAAAAGGCATACATATTAAAAAGGAAGAAATAAAACTGTCTCTATTTGCAGACAGCATGATTCTTTAGAAAGAAAATCCCAAGAAATATATTTTTTTAAATCCTAGAAATAGTGAGTTTGTCAAGATCATAGGAAACAGATTTGACACAAAAGACTCAATTCCATTTCTATATACTAACAATGAACATGTAGACACCAAATTAAGAACTCAATATCATTTATAATTACTCTAAAAAAAACACCAAAATACTTAGGTATATACTTAATAAAGTATGTACAGTATCTGAATGCCAAAAATAACAAAATACTGATGAAAGAAATCAAAGAAGACCTAAGTAAATGGAGAGACAAACCATGTTCATGCATTGGAAGAATCAACATAATAAAGATGTCAAATTGATCTACAGGTTTAATGTATTTCCTATCAAAACACCAGCAAGGTTTTCTATAGACATAGACAACATAGTTAGAAATTTATATGGAATTTCTTAGGCCTTGCAATATCTAAAACAATCTTGACAAAGAAGAATTAAAAAAAAAAGGAATCACTCTACGTGGTATTAAGGCTTACTACTGAACTACGCAGGAAACATCAAAAGAACATGGCAGGAATACACAGAGTCATTGTACCAAAAATGATTGTTAGATGTTCAACCATTTCAAGAGACAGCACATGATCAAGAACCAATGGTACTGAAGGAAGAAGTCCAAGATGCACTGAAGACACTGGCAAAAAACAAGGTTCCAGGAATTGACAGAATACCAACTGAGATGTTTCTACAAATGGATGCAGAACTGGGAAGTGCTCACTTGTCTATGCCAAGAAATTTGGAAGACAGCTACCTGGCCAACCAGCTGGAAGAGATCCATATTTATGCCTATTCCAAAGAAAGATGATCCAACCAAATGCAGAAATTATCAAACACTATCATTAATACCACACACAAGTAAAATTTTGCTGAAGATCATTCAAAAGCGGTTGCAGCAGTACATCAACAGGGAACTGCCAGAAATTCAAGTCGGATTCAGAAGAGGACATGGAATGAGGGGTATCATTGCTGATGTCAGATGGATCCTGGAAGCAGAGAATACTAGAAAGATGTTTACTTGTATCTTATTGACTATGCAAAGGCATTCGACTGTGTGGATCATAACAAATTATGGGTATAATTGCAAAGAATGGGAATTCCAGAACACTTAATTATGCTCATAAGGAACCTGTACATAGATCAAGAGACAGTTGTTCCAACAGAACAAGGGGATACTGTGTGGTTTAAAGTCAGGAGAGGTGTGCATCAGGGACGTATCCTTTCACCATACTTTTTCAATCTGTATGCTGTGCAAATAATCCCGGAAGCTGAACTATATGAAGAAGAACGTGACATCAGGATTGAAGGAAGACACATTAGATGACACAATCTTGCTTGCTGAAATTGAAGAGGTCTTGAAGCACTTACTGATGAAGATCAAAGACCACAGTCTTCAGTATGGATTACACCTCAACATAAAGAAAACAAAAATCCTCACAACTGGACCAATAAGCAACATCATGATAAATGGAGAAAATACTGAAGTTGTTAAGGATTTCATTCTACTTGGATCCACAATCAACACCCATGGAAGCAGTAGCCAAGAACTCAAAGGATGCATTGCATTGGGCAAATCTGCTGCAAGAGACCTCCTTAAAGTGTTAAAAAGCAAAGATGTCACCTTGAAGATTAAGATGTGCCGGACCCAAGCTTGTGTTTTCAATGGTCTCATACGCATGGGAAAGCTGGGCAATGAATAAGGAAGACTGGAAAAGAATTGATGCCTTTAAATTATGGTGTTGGCAAAAGGAATATTAAATATACCATGGACTCCCAAAAGAACGAACAAATCTGTCTTGGAAGAAGTACAGCCAGAATGCCCTTTGGAAGCAAGGATGGCGAGACTTTGTCTCACATACATTGGACATGTTATCATGGGGGATCAGTCCCTGGAGAAGGACATAATGCTTGGTAAAGTAGAGGGTCAGTGAAAAAGAGGAAGATTTTCAACGAGATGGAATGACACGGTGGCCGCAACAATGGGCTCCAGCATAACAATGATTATGAGGATGGTGCAGGACCTGGCAGTGTTTTATTCTGTTGTGCATAGGGTCGCTATGAGTTGGAACCGAGTCAATGGCACCTAACAACAACACCAGATAGCTATAGCTATAGTAATCAAGAGTGTGTGGTATTGGCAAAGGGATAAACACACAGATTAATGAAACAGAATAGAGAATCCAGAAAAAGATCCATGTAAATATGCTGAAATGATTTTTCACAAAGGTACCATAGCACTTTTCAACAAATAATGCTGGAGCAATTCAACATCCATACACACACACACACACACACACACACACACACACAAAAGAACCTCAGCCCAAAGCTTACATCATATATAAAAACTAAATAAAAATGGATTATAGACCTAGGTGTAACACATAAAACTATAAAAATTTTTAGAAAAAAAAATTAGAAAATCTTTAATGTCTAAGAGTTGGCATGAAGTTCTCAGATTTGACACTAAATAAAAAAAACCCATAAAAGAAAAAGTTAATAAATTAGATATCACCAGATTTGAAAACTTTGCCCTGAATAAGCCCATGTGAGAAGGATGTGAAAAGACTGAGAGAAAATATTTCCAAACCACATATCCAACAAGACTAGTATCTAGAGTATATAAAGAGCTGTCAAAATTCAGTAGTAAAGTAATAATAATAATAATCTGATTATTATTCTAATCTAAAAAATAGGTAAAAATGGATACTTCATCAAAGAGGACATTAACCCATTGCCATCGAGTCGATTCCGACTCATAGTGACGCAGTAGGACAGAGTAGAACAGCTCCATAAGGTTTCTGAGGCTGTAATCTTTAGGGAAGCAGATTGCCACATCTTCCTGGCTGGTGGGTTTGAACTGCTGACCTTTCGGTTAGCAGCCAAGCATTTAACCACTTTGTCATCAGGGCTCCTTAAAGAGGATATACATATAGTTAATAAGAAAGGCCTAGCAATCTACTTCCGAACAATCATCCATTGAAAACCCTATGGAGCATAGTTCCATTCTGACACAGCCTACGTCTACTCTAACACACATGAGGTCGCCATGAGTGGGAATCAACTCTATGGCAATTGATTGGGTTTTTTGTTTCATACTCTTATCAGAATAGATAAAATAAAAAATAATGACAACATCGAATATTGGCAAGGATTCATAGAACATAGAAACTGGATAACTGATATTTTGTTGGGGGAATTTAAAATGGTACAGTCTCTCTGGAAAACATTTTATCAATTTCTTATAAAACTATATGTGTCATTACCATGTGACTCAGCAATTGCACTCCTGTGAAGTTATCCCAGAGAAATGAAATCTTACGCTCACACAAAAACTTGTACACAAATGTCCATTGCAGCTTTATTCTAAAATACATCTATTTTTCTAGGTAAAAACTAGAAACAAGCTGAGGTATATACATACTATGGAATACTAACACCCCCCAAAAAACCAAACCCATTGCCGTCGAGTCGATTCCGACTCATAAAATATTACTCAACAAAAAAAAAAACAGAGGATGGATCTCCAGGGAATTATGCCAAGTTTTAAAAGCCAATTCCAAAAGGTTATATACTGTATGATTCCCTTTATACATCATTTTTTAAATGACACTTTAGAAATGGAGAATAGCTTGACAGATGTGGGGGGTTAAGGAAGAGGCAAAGGAGGGAGCTATAAAAGGAGTTATAAAATGGCAACACAAAGGATTATTGCGGTAATAGAACTGTTCAGTATCTTCACTGTGGTGGTATATACATGACCTTACACACGATATTACAGTGTATGGAACTAAATACACACATATACACACAAATTAACACATGGAGAAATCTGGATAAGATGGGTGGCTGTACCAATGTCAATACCACCGTAGTGATAATATATTACAGTGCTGCAAAGTGTTATCATCGGGGGAAGCCCTGGCAGTGCAGTGGTTAAGAGCTTGGTTGCTAACCAAAAGATTAGCAGTTCAAATACACCAGCTGCTCCTTGGAAACCCTATGGGGCAGTTCTGCTCTCTCCTATAAGGTCACTATGAGTTGAGATCGACTCAACGGCAATGGGTTTGGTTTTGGTTTAGTTTACATATGATCTCTCTGTATTACTTCTTATAACTACAACTAAATCTAAAATTATCTCAGTAAAATTTTCAACTTAAAAAATGGATGGACTGAAGTCTGTATAATAGTACAGATTAATGATTAAAGAATTATAAAATCTTAAAGTAGACAGTTGCAAAATTTTAAAAATAACTATACTAAAAATATTTTAAAATGTTTAAGAATACATTTATCCCTCAGTAACCAAGGTCAGTGCCAGTGATCAGAAACATCTTTCTAATGTAAGATTCTTCATATAATAGAATTTAATTTTATTTATAAATCACATTCATCTCTTCAGCACTAATAATTTTGCTTTCTTTAATATCACTCCCATTTAATACATTTGTATGAGATTCTCTCTTGTTCTTCAAGTTTCTTCCTTTCGTCTATTATTGTTTACTTGCCCATTTTCCTATTTATGTAGCTTACTTTCAGTTCCCAAATGGGAGTTAAGAGTGTAGATGGATGTCTTAGGCTCTGTAACATGATATACACTGAAATTACGATAGCAGTAGGACTGATAATCATACACATTTGGAGGTGGGGGAAAGAAGACTTAATTGGTCTTTGGAAAAATTATACTAGAGTCTTCTTTGAACTTGTCAAACTGGCTCTAATAAATTTTAAACTTCCTTGAAAGTGCATGATAACATTTGAATGGGTGGAAAGAACATTTTAGATAAAATATAAATGCGTATATAACACTAATTATTTGTTAAAAGTGTTAACAACTTACTACAGAATGGATTTGTGCCAGTGGTATCCAAAAACACAGTGGTCCTAAGAGATCGTCTTTCCATTCTTTCTTTGAAAATATCTTTCCATAGATCAACATTATAACCTGAGATTTAAGAAACAAAACAGGACATTGGGCTTCCATCAAATTGCATATAAATATTGAGATCACTACAGAAAATAAAGGATCAATGCATAGTAGTAGTAGTAATAGAAATAATAATAATTTATGGATTTTTTTATATCTTAAAAGTATTTCTTCAAATAATATAATTCAACTTATTTTAATTACAAGAACAACTCTTAAATTCAGGGTTCACAAATACTGCTCCCTGAAAATCTTATCAGAGTTTATCATGCCCTATATGGATACAGTCCACTTGTAGCAGTTTTTTACTATTATATTATAAGTTCAGTATTGTGTTTGTAAGTCTTTTTAGCAAATTCAGCATAGCAAATTGAATTGATAAAACTAAATAATTTAGTTCCATGAGTATAGCTCCCAATTCTTCCACATATGCATAAGTAATGCTTATATACACATATATGTATGTGCATGTATACATGTTACATATGCAATATATGTAGTATGTTGTGGTTAAGTGTCATCAAGTCAATTTCGACTCATAGCAACCCCATGTGACAGAGTAGAACTGCCCCATCGGCTTTTCTAGGTTGTAATCTTTACAGAAGCAAATCACCAGGTCTCTCTCCCATGGATCAGCTGGATGGGTTCGAAAACACCAATCTTTCAGTTAGCAGCCACCAGGGCTCCTTATATGTAGTATAGATCACATATATATACGCACTGTATATTGTACATATAAACCAAAAAAACCCCAAACCCGTTGCCGTAGAGGACATCCAGGACTCCATTATACATATTTAAAAAAAACAAAACAAAAAAACCATTGCCTTCAGGTTGATTCTGATTCTTAGTGATCCTATAGGACAGAGTAGGACTGCCCCATAGGGTTTCTAAGGAGTACCTGGTGCATTTGAACTGCCGACCTTTCAGTTAGCAGCCAAACTCTTAACCACTTTGCCACCAAAGTTTCCACCGTACATATAGAATATATATATTTCAGATACATACATTATTCAGATACATAGATATGCATTATATATTATATATAGTATATAAATATTATACATTAAATATATATATTTTATATATGCACATATATATATAGTTCAGATGCTTACCACTTTATATATGTTTCTGTTTCCACATCGCTACCTCCAAATTTGAGATTTTAATACAGTAAAAAGAATAATGAATTGGGAATTCAGAGGCTTAACTCTAGTTCTCAAATTGTGCCCTTAAAAGCAATCCATATATTGATTGACTATGTCACGATTTTCTCGTTTATATGGAAAAGTGATGATACCAGAAGAACAACCCGCAACGTGAGGTCTGAAGAAACCTAATTCCGAAAGATGTCATGTGAACACAAGGGTCTAGGAGAAAATAAATTGGCCAAGTCTGCATAGTGCATGCCTCTCCTGGAGAGTCTCCATGTATGTTAATATAAACTCCCTGCTGAGGAAAACTGGTGGCATATGGTTTAATTCAGCCTTTGGAATTGCTACCCACTTCCTCTAGCCCCTGTGGTTTTAGAAATATTTCTAGCAGATCCTTTTATGATACTGACCAGATGTTAACATGCTCATGAAATGCCTGAATCTTGTATTCTCTTTGGAGAATCCTGAACAAAACAATCTCTGAGATTCCTTCCAGCTTTAACATTCAATTTTTATGTGGATTCTTCTTTCTCTATAATTTCCTACTGGCAGGCTTCAGTTATAAGAAGCTGCAATATGTAATTGCTCTTACCAAGATTTATTGATTTAGAAGGTGTGGACAGTGTCTGCTTTGTACCTACTTGCTGATAGCAAATAAATAACTGACTATGGTTTTCACCTCTTCACTTGCTCCTAAGACTTCCCATTAAAAAAAAAACAAAACTCAGTTCTGCCAAGAAAGTGCAAGTCTCCCTTTTTAAGTAATAATATAGATAGATAATAGTAAGATTCTTTTGTTTATCAAGAACGGGAATCGCCATGAGGTCACCGAATTTGCCCGTTATATTGAGCATTGAAAGGTAGTTGATCACGTTCTTCTCAATAAATATCCTAAAAATATTTAGTAGGAAATGAACTAGTTACTCTGTTGTTCCACATTTCTACAAATATTTTTCCCATAAAATATTAACATTTTTAAAAAGAAAACTGAAAACATAATTTAGTTTCCAGCAGAAAATACTAGCACAGTTACATTATTCATTTTCACAAAGAATTGTAGGAATTATAACAATTTCTTACCTAGTCTAGGACATGATAGTTTCTTAAAGTCGTCACAGTCCACACATAAACCAGTCTTGTAATCGTTGTATGAAGGACAAGGGAAGGAAATAAAATTGCAGTGTGTTTCCAATGATGCAATGAACAAGTAAACTGCTCTCTGGTGGTCGCATTTAAAAAATTCAATCCCTTAAGTATTAAAAATCAAGCAAAATAACTGTAGATAATTAATCCAAGTTCAAGAAAATCAGAGAAAAATCAAAGATTAGGCTTTTTTAACACAATGTGCCTTGTAATTATTAAAGTCTTTGCTACAATACACAGTTTTTATCTCAAGTAACAAAACAAATAGTACCATTGAAAACTTAAATTTAGCATGTCTTTTACACTGGATTTATAATCAGTTTTTCTAAAGAAAAATTTCCACAGCAAAGATGTTTAATTTCAATAATTTAACAAACTCTACAAATACAGTGCTACTATGCCTAACAACTGGAGCCCTGGTGGTGTAGTGGTAAAGAGCTCAGGCTGCTAAACAAAAGGTAGGTGGTTCAAATCCACCAGCCACTCCTTGGAAACCCTATGGGGCAGTTCTCCTCTGTCATATAGGGTCACTATGAGTTGGAATTGACTCGATGGCACACAACAACAACAAACTTAACAATTAGTGCACACATCTCTCCATTCTGATCCAACACCCCTAACATTTTTTCCAATGTCAGAGATGACAAAGTAACCTGGTGAGATTAAAATTTTATCATGTTCCTTGCTCTTGCCAATATCCCACATGCTGATTCCATTGACCAAACTTCTACAGCTACAGAGGACTTTAGTCCTGTGTTATTTGACCAGTGCCTCTGTGACTCTCAGAATATTTCTTGCATATGGTCCTGAAGTTAGCCAAATTGTACACTTTGAACAGTTGCTCAACTATCTATATGTACAAGACAATCAAGTGTCAAGAGTTTATAAATCCACAGTATTGGTACAGTACTATTGTGATTTGTTTCTGTTGTTATTAATTGTCCTCAAATTGCCTCCAACTCACAGCAATCTCAAGGTTAAATCCTAAGATCTTGTGTTATATCATACTTCAGCTGTTCATGCTTCTTCAATGACTTGTAACTTCTAATGTTTAAAATGATCTAAAACTGTTGAAACTACAATGTAATAGGTCTCATCTGTGACCAAATGGGATATCTACTGGTAAAATTTATGAACTAATCAGGGTAAATTTACACATTGCTCACCAATAACTCTTCTGAATCATGGGCAATGAAGATGAGTTCAAAATATTGCCCAAAGATTAAGAGGGAAAAATATATCAATCTTCTTTTATCATTTTGAATCATGTGTAATGCATTCAAAATACTATTGGTATACCTGAAAAAACTGATTTAGGACAGCCAGGTTGATTTTTTCCTCCATTAGGATAAAAATCTATATGTCCCAAGGGCTCTTTAATGCCTAAACCTGAAAAGAAAAGAACCCAAGAATTACAATGTGTGTATAATCACGTCAACATTACTTGTATAAAACAAAATTACAAAATCTCCTACAAAATCCATTGAAAGTCACCCTTACAAAATTTGAATTAAAAATAAGAGCTATTGAACAAAAAAATATGAGTTTTTCTGGTATCAATACTTAAAATTAATTTCTCATTAAAACTGTATTTCATTAATTAAACACATTTATCAATCACTTACTACAGGCCAATCACAGCTCTTCGTGCTATAAATATATAAATGAAAAAAAAACAGAGCAAAAATCCTTGTTCTAGTGGAAATTACATTCTAGTGCAACAAGACAGATAATAAACAAGTGAAAATATAGTATGCCAGGTAATAAGTACTGTGGAAAAAAATTAAATAGAATAAGACCATCAAAAAAAACCTAACAACAAAACATTTGCCACTGAGTCAATTCTGACCCATGGTGACTCCATGGGTTTCAGAGTAGAACTGTACTCCACAGGGTTTTCAAAGTTTGTGATCTTTCCAAAGTAGTCAGATCTTTTTTCCAAAGTAGTCAGGTCTTTATTCCAACGTGCTTCTGAATTGGTTTGAAGCACCAATCTTTTCGTTTGTAGCCAAGAGCTTAACTGTTTGCACCATCCAAGAACAGAATAAGCGGACAGGAAGTGCCTAATGAGAGTGGTAGGTTGCACTTTTAAGTAGGTTGGTTATGAGGTGAGAGTTGAGCCTGAAGGATATGAGGCAGTGAGTCAAGTGGTTATCTGTGTGAGCTTGCCTAGGGTATTTAAAGAAGCCAGAGTGTCCGCAGCATGGTGTGTAAGAGGGACAGTAGAATGAAATGAAGCCAAGTCATATAGGACCTTTTAGGCCACTGTGATGATTTATCTTCATTCTTAGATGATAATGCCTAGGACTGGCTGAAGCTAGATTCACTAACTAGAAAAATATCTAAAGAATATGCTGTTTCAGCTGGATCAAATTGGGCCAGAGTGAGATGGAATATACAGCTATGATTTAAGGGCTTCTGTAGATCTTGTAGAGGAGCTTTGGCAATGCAGTGGCTTTGAAACCGCCAGCTGCTCCATAGGAGAAAGATGTGGCAGTCAGCCTCCATAAAAATTACAGCCTTGGACACCCTATGGGGCAGTTCTACTCTGTCCTATAGGGTTGCTATGAGTCAGAATAGACTTAATGGCAATGGGTTTGGTTTTTGGTATAGATCTTGTAAGAAGACCTGGTGGTGCAGTGGTTAAAAGCTTGGCTGCTAACCAAGAGGTCAGCAGTTTCAACCATCAGCTGCTCAGTGGGAGAAAGATGTGGCAGTCTGCTTCCATAAATATTACAGCCTTGGAAAACCTATGGGCCAGTTCTGTTCTGTCATACAGGGTTGCTGTGAGTCAGAATCAACTCGATGGCAATGGATTTGGGGTTTGGTATCGATCCTGTAGATCCTTGGAGTACTGGTGAAAGTACAAATTCTGGGTCCATTATAATAATCTGGAATCTATAACTCAAGGAAATCATTAGAATGGAAGGAGGTGGCAAGCTCTGAATACTCAGGACTATGATTAGATATAAAATCTTGCTGCTTGGAGCACAGTAAATGTTCTACAACATAGTGAACTCTTGAGAGACATAAGAAATAAATTTCACGTAATAAAGATAAACACTTCAGTCTGACATTAAGGATTAAGATGCAGCAACTTGATTTAATTCGAATATGTAATGGAACATGGTAACAGATTGTGAGGTTTTAGGGGGACATGAGAAGACTGGACATGTATATGACAGGAGAGGATGTTCAAGATGCAAAGAAAGACAAAGAACTTAGATGATTTCATTAGAACTTCCTAGAATTCAGTGAAATGTGTGCATGATTTGATTGTGTCAGTGGTGAGAGTATACTAGCCAATCCCTTTCTATATCCTATCAGCCACTCAGCTTGTGGAATCTAAGCAATAAAGGACAGTCTCGGAGTATGCCAAAAAAAGAAGTCTTTTAACAGTTTTGGAGTTCTGTGAAATTTCCTCATATCTGAACTCAACATGGGGTTCCAAGACTAGGGGTTCTTGTTTTGGATCCATAATTTTCTCCAACTTTCCAGTGAAGTAGAATCAAACTAACAAGACTTCTTAGGAATCGGGGGAAGCAAAAACCATCTGCTATTAACTTCCAAGCAGCCCTTGACTCAGGTATATCATTTCCTTTTTATCAGATGGAGGGCAGCTTGGTCTGCTTAGGTCATTCATTCCCTTTGTTTCAAGACGGGTGGGGAGAGCAGATGAGACTTTTTAATTTTCTTTTTATTATAAAATATAACACACATACATAAAGTGACATACAATGTAAAGGTATAGACTAACTATTATAAGGTGAATAGCCATATAGCTACCACAGTCTGGTCAAGAAATAGAAACTGGACAGAACCTAGACGTCTCCAGTGCCCTTACCTAATCAGAAGCTTCCCTCTTTTCTCTAAAAATAATTGTCATCCTTTCTTTTTCAAAAAAAAAATTATTTTTTATTATTCTTTATCTTTTAAGGATGTCCCCAAAACACTACAGTCGAGATTTTCCCATTTTGGAAATACAAATAAATTGATTCAGATTATAAATATTCTTTTGTGTCTGATTTATTTTGATTACTATCATCCACAATGTTGTGTTTAAACATAGCTAATTCATTTTCATTGCTATATAGGATTTGATTGTATGAACCTACCACAACGTGTTTATTCAGTCTTCTGTTGGTGGACATCTGTGTAGTTTCTAATTTGGGGATAATATGCGTTAATGATATAGATATTCTTGAACACATACATTAATGTATATGTGAAGGCATTATGTTGGTAATTTACCTTTTGCATTTCCATACTAATTTTATAATTAGCTTGTGAGGTTTTAAGAAGCAAACAAAAAATGTAGATGATGGGATTTTTTTTACAAAGATTACATTGAATCTGTAAGTCAACTTGTATGCAATGCTCATATTCAGATATGTGGTTCACTTGCTTTTAATTTATATCTGCTTTAATTAATTTCTATGTTTCTTGTTTTTCTGCAGAAGCTTTGTCCAAATTACCTAATCTACCATTTTTAGAAGGCTACATGACTGCTTTAATGTATACAATTGAATAAGGACAAGAATTATTGGCAAGATACGTTCATTGGCAGTATTCAGAAAACAAGTGGCCTACCAGGTGATTGCTGACTCCATGGATCTCATTCAGAAATCCTTTGAGGCAGATGAACATGCAGTGCCAAGACTCTTTGTTCCTCATTTGTGATGGTAATAAAAAGGTCAATCAAAGTTGCCAACTATGTGACATCTAGTAGCAATTATGATAGGTTGAGTCATTAAAAGATTTGCAGTGTATAAGACAAAGCCAAAACAGTAAATTAAGGAAAGCCAAAAATTCAAACAAAAATAATAAAAAGTACAAAGACCATACTGAAGGCCATAGGCAGAACTGAAGTTGGAATTTCAGAAAGAAGAGTTCAGATGAAGGACTTCAGAGTGATGGGACACTAGGTGTGTTGTGCATGAATAAAGTGCTAGAGATAAAGACATGAGGGCTTGGAGAGATCATACTGAAACTATGGATTCTTCAGGCATTGCCTCCCTGTAAAAAGGAGGTGAACTTAGATGCTAAACAAGGACCAGAATTGTTCCTATTGTAGGCTCAGTCCATTGTCATGCACACACTGGAGTCATCTCCCATCTGTGTCATTTATGACATTTATGTCTCCCATAAGAGGATTGGTATAGAGCATCATAAGGTAAATTCAGAGTGATGAAGGAGAAAATGAATTACCTGGACCAAAGAGAAAGGAAACCTTAGGATACAGGGAAATAGAAGCAGTCTTAGTGTCACTTCCTCCCATCTCAACCTCAGCACCATACACTTCCCATACCCACAACCACAACACACCTAAATTATCAACGAGTCAGAACAACATACTGGTGAGGTGCAGACTCTGGAATCAAAAGATGTGAATTCCAATTCTGGCTCTGTTATTTACTAGCCTTGTAACCCCATCTGTAAAAGGGGGCCGTGTGAGAATTGAATGATTGATTCACATAAAACTTAAAACACTGCCTGAAGCATAGGAAGTGCCCAATAAATATTAGTTGGTATTACCAGTTTCAAATCAGGAAAGGGGTCAGGGTCATCAGGATTACTCCCTGAATGTATAGCCTAATGTACTCTAGCCAAAACTACCAAAATCCTGTAAAACATTTTCAGGAAGATAATTAAAAACTGTAAAGGAATTATTTCCCTATATTTAAGGAAAAGTATTTTTTACCTGGGCCTGAAATGCTGTACTCAGTTCTAGGTGATATACATCAAGACATAAAAAATGAGTGGGGAGAATAAAAACCTAGATACAGCAGGAAAGTTAAGTTTCGAGAAAAACGTAATCAAATAAAAAAAATTATGACTAGTGTGGGCGTGAAGAACTCTTTTTAATCAAATTTCAAAATCTGAGGATGACATGACACTTCTTGAAATCTGAAGGATGTCAGCTGCAGGTAAACAATGCCATTTAACACCACAGGAAATCACTAACTTCAAAAAGTACTGCTATCGGGAAGTAGAATTATTACATAATTAGAGATTGATCATCACTTTATGCACAATTCTATTTCTTCTTATGTTCTCCTTTTCCCATGTTATGTGTCCTTTTAATTTTCAAAAATTTAAGCAATGAATTCTTCATAGTTACCATTGATATCAGAATGGATGACATCTACAAACTCTGCATCAGTGTAATCTAATCTGTCATATGATGGTTTTCCAGAAAATTTTGGTCCAGCAGGATCAAGACCTGAAATGCAAGAAAGAAACTCTCAATCTATTAAACCAAGTTCTACTACAGTGTTCACTAGATTGCAGGATTGCATTATTATTACTTTATAAACATAATAAATCTATAGATTTTTTATTTAAACCTGTCTAGAAATGTGCCTAAGACAAATGAAATTGGATGAATAGCAAGTAGCTTCATTATTGAATAACAATAATTACCAAATTTTGAGTTTTTGTCCTAAGCTACACTAGAGATGCCTCAACAAAATACTGAATAATAAATAACTACTACTTCATTTGAGAAGAACATCATGCTTGGTAAAGTGGAAGGTCAGCAAAAAAAAGGAAGACCCTCAATGAGATGGATTGACACAGTGGCTGCAACAATGGGCTCAAGCATAACAATCATGAGGATGGTGCAAGGGTGGGCAGTATTTCATTCTGTTGTACATAGGGTTGCTTAGGTCAGAACCTACTCCATGGCACCTAAAAACCACAACTTCATTCAAGGGGGAAAAACGGTAATGAATATCATCTTGCTTGAACTCTGTGCCTTACTCATTCCTCCTGGATCCATCTATAAGTCTAGCGTGATTTTTAGGTGCCAAATGACAATTTGGGTGGTGGAGTAAAACATATTTATTATTATCTACAACTCATTTTTGATTAAAGTTTCACACACTTAAGAAGAGATAAACAAATCTGAATTAAATGAATTATGGATATTATTTCTGTAGTATTTGAAATTCTAAATAAAAATTCTAGGCTCATGACCTTCTAGAGAGGATCATATAAATGGGAGTGGCTGTGAAGGGGCAGATAAAATTCAACACCTTGAGAACATCTAGGCAATGGAGAAAGCAATCAGCTTTAACAGATTTTTAATCCAGAGGACTAATAGCCCACACAAACCACGGCCTCTTCTAACCTGAGACCAGAAGAACTAGATGGTGCCCAATTACCACTACTGACTGTTCTGAACTTCTGACACAACCGAAGGTCCCAGATAGAATGGGAGAAAAATGTATAACAAAATTCAAATTCTGAAAAAAGGCGAGACTTACTGGACCAACAGAGACTAGAGAAATCCCCTAGACTATTGCCCTAAGATAATCTTTGAACTTGGAATTGAAGCTATTTCTACAGGTCAACTTTCAGCCAAATAACAGATTGGCTTATAAAATAAAAAATAACATCCATGAGTAATATGCTCCCTTAAACAATCTACTATGTGAGACCAAAGAGTCAACATTTACCCAAAAGCAAAGATGAGAAGGCAAGGAAGGGAAGGGAAGCTACATCAATGGAAACAGAACAAACAGAATGGAAATAATGAGAATGCTGACACATTGTGAAAATTAGAACCAATGTCACAGAACAATTTGTATAAAAATTGTTAAATGAGAACCTAATTTGCTGTGTAAACTTTCACCTAAAACACAATAAAATATTATTTTTAAAAAAAGGTTTTTAAGAAGTAAAATATAGTGTCGTTCATCTCAGGTCCTTTTATCCCTACTTTATTTAATGCACTTTACTGAATGAGGCAGAATCCTCTCTCTTCCTATAAGTTATTCTGATGTAGAACCTCCACATTTGCTGGTGCTTTAAAGTCTATTGATTTACTCATATACAAGGCCATTCAAACTGGATTTATACGTGAGTAAATATACTGTTATGGATTGAACTGTGTCCCCCAAAATATGTGTTGAATTTCTGTCCCCTGTACTTGTGGATGTGATCCTATTTGAAAACAGGGTTTTCTTTTATTATGCTAATGAGGTCACAATGGAGTAGGGTGGATCCTAAACTTAATCACTGCTGAATTATAGAAAGATCAAAATAGACACAAAGACACACACAGCGGAGAGATGCCATATGAAGACAGACACACACAGCAGATGTATCTACAAACCCAGGAAGTCCAAGGGTTACTGATGAGTACAAGCTGAAATAGACAAAGAAGGACCTCCCCTTAAAGCCACCCCCTGAATTTGGACTTCTAGCCTCCTGAACTGTGAGAAAATAAATTTCTGTTCTTTCAAGTCACCCACTTGTGGTATTTGTTACAGCAGCACTAAGTAACTAATACATACACCTTAACATAAAGTAGAATTACGACCAGTTCAAACTGAGTTAATTGAGTGTGTGAAAAGGAAGGTTTTTGGGTACTAGGGAACTTTGTGTGAATCCTTGCTCAGCTGTTAATGTTTTTTTTTACCTTGATACATTCATTCTGTTAACTTCAGTCTTATATAAGCATAATGGGGATAATATTAAAACTAATGCAAATAAGTATGTTAACCACTGTGCCACCAGGGCTCCTTGTAATAATAATAACCGGTTGCTGTCAAGTCAATTCTGACTCATAGCAATCCTACAGGACACAGTAGAACTGGCCCATAGGGTTTCCAAGGCTGTAAATCTCTATGGAAGCAGACTGTCACATCTTTCTCCTGCAGAGCTGCTGGTGGTTTCGAACCACTGACCTTTGGATTAGCAGTCGATCCCTTTAATCACTGCGCCACCAGGGCTACTTATAATAATAATAGTCGAAGTATCTTGGGTTTTTACTTTGTGTCAGCTACCTTGATAAGTGCTTTCCAAGTCTCATATTTAATATTCACAATGTGGTCTTATGAGGTTTGTGAAGCCTTTAGCAATTTTTACAAGTCAGTCACCTCCCTCTCTTCCCTCTCTCTCTTTTTATTTAGATGAAGACTCTATTACCCTTCACTGTCACTTGAAATTATTATAAATGTTCTATGGACATAGATTTCAATAATTTTTTTATTGTGCTTTAAATGAAAGTTTACAGTTTAAGTTAGTTTCTCATACAAAAATTTATACACACATTGTTACGTGACCCTAGTTACTCTCCCTATAATGTGACAGCACACTCCTCCTTTCCACCCTAGATTTCCATATCCATTCAGCCAGATCCTGTCCCTTTCTGCCTTCTTATCTCGCCTCCGGACAGGAGCTCCCCATTTAGTCTCATGTATCTGCTTGAACTAAGAAGCACTGTCTTCATGAGTATCATTTTATGTCTTACAGTCCAGTCTAATCTTTGTCTGAAGAGTTGGCTTTGGGAATGGTTTCAGTTCTGGGCTAACATACAGTATGAGGGCCATGTCTTCCGGGGTCCTTCAAGTCTCAGTCAGACCATTAAGCCTGGTCTTTTTACTAGAATTTGAGTTCTGCACCACCTTTCTCCTGCTCCATCAGGGACTCTGTGGTGTTCCCTGTCAGGGTAGTCATTGGTGGTAGCCAGGCACCATCTAGTTTTTCTGGTCTCAGGCTGATGGAGTCTCTGGTTTGTGTGGCCCTTTCTGTCTCTTGGGTTAATATTTTCTTTGTCTTTGGTGTTCTTCATTCTCCTTTGCTCCAGATGGGTTGGGACCAATTGATGCATCTCAGATGGCCACTCACTAGCTTTTAAGACCCCAGACGCCACTCACCAAAATGGAATGCAGAACATTTTCTTAATAAACTTTGTTATGCTGATTGACCTAGATGTCCCCAGACCATGAAACCATGGTCCCCAGAACCCTGCCCCTGCTACTCTGTCCCTCGAAGTGTTTGGTTGTATTCAGGAAACTTCTTAGATTTTGGTTTAGTCCAATCGTGCTGACTTCCCCTGTAGTGTGTGTTGTCCTTACCTTCACCTAAGATAATTCTTGTCTACTATCCAGTTAGCAAATACCCCTTTCCCTCCCTCCCCACCTTCACAACTATCAAAGAATGTTTTCTTCTGTGTTTAAACCTTTTCTTGAGTTTGTATAATAGTGGTCTCATACAATTTTTGTCCTTTTGCGACTGACTAATTTCACTCAGCATAATGCCTTCCAGATTCGTCCATGTTATGAGATGTTTCACAGATTCATTATTGTTCTTTATTGTTGCATAGTATTTCATTGTGTGAATATACTATAATTAGTTTATCCATTCATCTGTCGATGGGCACCAAGGTTGTTTCCATCTTTTTGCTATTGAGATTTCAATAATTTTTTAAAAACCAAGTTGGGTGGGGAGGAATGTTATTTTTCTGATTCTAACGTCACCACCACTCTTAGAGGGAAGCATAAAAATCCATGTCAGCATTATTTGGATTCTGAGCTTTCTGGTTGAGGTGACAGTTATGGAAATATGAGGGGAATTGGGATCCAGGATCCCTCAAATCTCAGATATCAACTCCTGATCCTCTTTTCTAGCATTCAGGTAAAATACCTGATAGAATTCCAATACAGTAACATTTTTAAAAATTAAGTTCAGTTATATTTTTAGTTAACATATGCTAAGTTAGTTAATACACGAATATACATTCAAACTGCCGACCTTTTGATCAGCAGCCATAGCTCTTAACCACTGCACCACCAGGGCTCCACGTAATATATATATGTTATATATAATGTAATATATACATGTTAGTTAATACATGAATAACCAAAACCGAAAAACCAAACTCATTGCAGCCAAGTCGATTCCGACTCATAGGGACCCTGAATGACAGATTAGAACTGCCCCATAAGGTTTCTAAGGCTGTAAATCTTGATGGAAGTATACTGCCACATCTTTATCCTGCAATAAACAAATAAAGCCTTTTATTTAATGGATTTATTTAATGGATTTTCCTTGGTATTTAAATAACAAGTGTCCTTAAAATGTAAGTGGGAATGCAAAAATAGACCTTTTCTTCTCATTTCCATATGGGTAAGTTAAGCTTTGTTAAGAATTGAAAAAAAGCTTTAAACAGTCTAACAACAAGAAGAACGGACTAACATTTGAATATAATATAGAAATACATAAATGTATGAGCATGATTTCTATTGAGTAATTACTGCACCTGTTAAATTTGGAGTAAATTAACTTCTGTTGCTTTACAAGTGTACTAAAACATTAATTCCATGAAAAATATTTTACCTGTTATTCTTCCGAGTTGACCTTGAAATATCTTTCCAACAAATCCACTAATATGAGCCCCTAAGCTCACACCTATGAAATGAAAAGTGTCAAGAGATGCTCCATGCTTCTGCAATTGGAAATGCAACGTTAAGATTTTCATCTCAGGTCATCACAAACTGCGTCTCCTACATCAATATTCTAAAACTCATTATTTTTTCTGGCTTAATCAATTTCTGGGAGATGGCGAGAACCTTTATAATTTCAAAACAACTATATTTTTGTTTAACTTTTACCGTAAGATATCTGATACTTCTCCATTTAAAAAATATCATTAAAATTTTAAAATCTTATATGTAATATTATGTAGCATAAATGTTTTATGCAAACTAATACATTTAATTAGCAAAACATTTCATAATAGTAAGAATGATAGCCATTGAGTGTTTACTTTGTATCAGCTACCTTGATAAATGCTTTACAAATCTCATATTTAATATTTACAATAGTCCTATGAATTACTTATTTTTATCTTATTCCCTAAAACGGTCCCTGGCACCTATTAAATGCTAAATAAATATGGTTAGATAAATCTCCATTTTATCAATGAGACTGCGGCTCAGAGGTTCATGTCTTGCCCAAAGCCACATAGGTAATAAGTGGAAAAGATGGATTTTAATCCCAGGTCTGTTTGACTCCAAGATTCATCCTAATCTTCCTCCCTGTTTTATCTGGTCAGATTGTGTCATGACTAGCAAAAATAGAATAATCATCCTCATTTCAGAGAAGATAAAATGAAGCTTGTGGATTTTAAGTTATTTCCCCAGATCACAAGCTAGAAAGTGATGGAGTCACTTCTTCCAAGGTGAAATTTTAAACACCTCTTATAGACTTGGCTCCAGGGGTGCACTTAGCAGCTTACATGAGGGAGTATTTCTGCCACTACACTCTCATGGAGCTGAAGTGTTTTAAATTTCTTTTAATTTAAAAAATCTTGAAGGTATACTTGTATAACTTTAAAATATTAACTAGAGATTCAGATTATCTCTTGTTATATTTTCAATTGGATATTTGAGTTAGTCATAAATTTTGGAAATGTTAATATGACACTAATATACAGTTTATTATTTATATTTTACCCATTCAGGAGTTTCTAGATAGGCATTTTATATTTGTCTAATGTAAATAACCAGATGCCACTTAGACCATTCTGACACATGACAACACCAGGTGTGTCAGAGTAGAACTGTGCTGCATAGGGTTTTCAATGGCTTATTTTTCAGAAGTAGATAGCCAGGCCTTTCTGCCTAAATGCCTCTGGGTGGACCCAACTACCTTTCAGTTAGCAGTGAGTTCTTAACCATTTGTACCACTCAAGGACTCCAAAGTCAGTCATTATAGGTAAAGTTAAAAAAAAAAAAACTTATAAGATT